TCTCTTCCATTTTACTTTTTGCCGCCATGGTGATTGACTGTTTGGTTTTCTTTTATCTGTTCTTGCGAAAAAGAATCAAACTATCAGAAGTTCTTTAAACATTTGTCTTTGTATTTTGTATCTTTTTCCAGTTACAGTGTCAAGACTTCTTTTAGAGAATGTTTAACACAAATATATAAATCAAAAACAAAAAAAAGTATCTAAATTCAAGCCATGCACCTGTTGTCTTTTCTAAATATCAATTTTAATTTTAAAGGTTAAATTACACGAACATCTTTATGTATAGAAGTTGAGTTTTATTGAGCCTTTCTCTAGTCCTAATGAAATGTGTAAAGCAGGCGGAGATGGATAAACAGCTGTAAAGCCATATCCAAAAATCTGAGTCAGGTCTATGTAAGATTTATAAAGATTTCGTATCTGTAAACTTCATAGGCTGTCATGTCCCTTTTGTTCTCTAATTATAGTTTTAAGCTTGCTGAAAAGGAAAAAAAATACTCAAAGAAAATGGTGCATAAATAAATTGATGGATTTATTTTCTTGTGGCCTGGAGTCAGAATGTGACAACAGCAAAATTATGGTGTTAAACTTTACATAATGAATCCGCTGCTGTAGCATCAATGATCAAAATTATATCCACAGAGTTACAACCAAGGCTACGTAGAAGACGAGGGAAGCGCAGATAGAGGAAAACAAAGTGACACAAACAAGACTTGCCTGTTTTTTATTTGGCTAATAGGAAGATTTCCAAAGATAATAAAAACAAACAAAGTCAGCTCAAATTATTCCAAGTAGTCTATCAATGTCAGAAGTTAATGTCGGAGTTTCATCTGGAGTAGCTTTTAAAAGCTGTTTTAAATAACCTCATCACATCCTCAAAGCATCTTCAGTGGGCCATTTAGATAAAAAAAACAAAAAAAAACAACAGGATCCTAAAAATGGAGCAGCTTAAAAGCAATTCAGTCATTGTTAAATTTACTACATTCACCTGTGGCGGCATGTCTCCTGTTCTGGGTTGACATTATGTCCATTGTTCTGTCTACTTCTGTTGCTCTACTGGACAAAAGAGCCAGTTGACCTCAATACGACTTCCTCCCATAAACTGTCTGATGATAGTTTTTCAAAGTTCACCTCAACCAACAAAGCACAAACATGTAACATATAGACACCTATAAATAGATCTATACCTCAGTATCTGCAGACTATGAAACAATGCTTCACAACCCCCCTGGAGGTTTGCCACGTTCTGGCACACTACAACCACAGACCAGGCATTTTATTGAGAGCTTATGTGAAAGTAAAAATGTAAAACACACTGGTGCACATTTGTATTCAATGCTTGAGTCAACATTATTTAACATCATAAATAAGGACTGCTAGCTCTCGCTCACCTTTTCTCCTCTAAACGACTGAAGTTTTCCGCCTATTCTTTTAACAAGAAAGCTCTTGTCAGACTGGATGGAGAGAACATTTATAAAACGCCTTTTTTTTTAGATTTTGCCAGCGATTCTCTATTTGACTGACATCTGAACTTTGACTAGGATATTCTAACGCAATAATAAGCTCCAACAGAAAATACTTTGCAGCTTTTTTGATCACATGTTTAGGATTACTGTCCTGTGGGAAGGTGAAGCTTGACCCCATTCTCAAATGGTTATTAGCTTCTAACAGGTTTTCTTCAATGATTGCAGTCAAAGAAAAGCCTCCCCACAGGATGATGCTGTCATTCCCGTGTCTCAACAGGGGAACCCTGCTTGAGGGTAAAGTGTAGTGTCAGCCTTCAAGGCCAACAAGATAAATATATAAATTAGCTGATTTCTAAATTCCAGCAGGTTCCAGTGGATCTTATTTAGGTGGAAAAAGGGGGCTGAATCCAAGTACAAGACATACATTTTTTAGATATTAATTTAAGGAAAGTGAAAACAATGCATCTTTCTCCTTCCATTCTACAAAAAAATATATATTTGTGTTGGCCAATCACAAAATAATAAAACAACCTGTGAAAGAATACCTTTTGTACTCTAATACCAATACAAAGAGTGTTCAAATCAAAATGATCTACTTTAACAACTTAACTAACCGCTCACAAATCTTCTTTTGTACATTTAAATCCATGCGCGATCTGCACAAACAACTGCAGAAACACACTGTGGCACGTTGCAGCTTGCTGCCTCACACAGCACCGAGAACAGCTGCGGTTTTCAGATCAGTTTTAACTTCTGTTGTAGGTGCAGCATGGCAAAACCACCTTCCCGTCAACTCCCCTGCATGCTTATTTGTGCCTGCACCCCCACTCCGAACACTGAGCTCATTCAGGAGGAATCAGTGGATTTCGGTGCTGACCCGCGGAGACAAGAGGAGCAGCCCGGTCCGTTCTGTCTCTCATTATCTGCTGCCTGTTCGTCAAACTAACTGCAGCCAGAGAAGAATACCTGCGTTCGCTTTGAAGTTCGTGCCTGACTACAGTAAATTATTAGCTCTCCTGCAGCACAGCTCCAGGCCCTCAAGACACCCCCAGGCTGTTCAACTGTGGGTGCCCTTACCTGTCATTCCAACTGTTGGGCATCTCTCATTGAGGCTGACAACAACTGTTACGCCTCGCAGTGGTACTACGCAAGTTCATCATTCTACTTTCTGAGAGGCAGTTGATGTGGGCGAGTTTATGCAGGCCTATAACAATGGATAGAGCGAGAGACAGGGAGGTTGGGGGGAGAGGTAAGGGGAAGAGCGGCACTGCAGCTCAAATTAAATAGCCAACATTCCTTTAAAAGGAAGCAAAGGTAGCCTTTGGGTTCCAGGCAAGCTTCAACTTGCAAAGTGTGGGTAAAAGAAAAGAGATGACAAGTGCAGTGCTCCTTCCAGTCTGACAGAGCGCAACAGGAAGTGGCAGGGCGCTGCTTCACATGGGGCTTCTCGAGTGCAGCGCCTGGCTGAGGGCACGTCACAGTCTCAGTCCGAAACCACCAGCGCCAACCAACACCCTTCCCAAACGGCGCCTAACAACGAGCAGACCCAATCGTTCTAAACATCCAGAGGGAAAAAACTTAAAACAGTTTGCCCCGACAGAAGTTCCAGCTTTCAGGAGAAATACTCATACCTGAGTGACAAACTGGCTCCACAACCTTTTCTTTGGAAGGTATGATTAATAAAATCTTAACCCACGGCGTTTCACCAACTGAATCTGCAGTCGATGACAGCAATCGGATAATGAAACTGCTCTGCTAGACGTACGGTAATTAGAGCTTCCTGTGAAGGCAGGAAACCCTCTACAGCGCTAAAGGAAGCAATGTCCTTTAGTTTTCGCAAGGCAAAAATCATCACTGACGATCAATTATGCATAGACACAGATTATTGACCTCTGTCTGCACTGAGGCGCCCAGTCTATACCGTCTGATCTGATGATGAGTGGTACAGAAAGGCAGCAGGAACGCACAATTTCTCATGTTGAGCAAAAACAGCATTGAGGGGGAAAAACAGCTGATTAGATCTGGCATTTGTTGTTCCAGGGACTGTGACTGAATGCTTGTTTAAAAATTATACATATGGCATAAAAATTCTATTCAGCAATGGCAGCATAGTACAATGACTACACTTCTCTGCAGAAAAAAAAACATCCACGGCCTGGCTCCTGAGAGAACAAAACCTGGCAGGGTCGAGGAAATAATTCATCCCATGCACAAAAGGAGAGGTCTCACAATAGGACGAAGATCACAAGCCAGCTTCTTTGTTTCTGACCTAAATTTGTATCTCTATATCTATAGTGTCCTACTAACGTATTCATACCGCTGAATATTTTTACCTTTGTCATGCTGTAAGTGCAAACGTGAATGTAATTTAGCTAGTAGTTGGCCGCTACATTAAAGTGGCCTTTACAGAGGACAGTCATGAAACAAGACATAAGAAGTGTGTTAAGAGTTTACCACAAGCAGTAGTCTGTTGTGACAGATGGGAACAAAAACAGACTATTTTTTGGCAAAAACACCAAGCGCACTGTGAAACATGGTTGTGACATCAGGCTGTGGGTGTGCTTTTTCCAAAAACTACGGAAAAGATGGTCAGATTTTAATGGTAAATGAGCAAAAAATTATATATATATATATATATATGCTATGTTCAAAGACTAAACACAGACTCAGGGACCCTAAACATGCAGCCAGAGCTACCATGGAAAGGTGCAAGCAAATTCATGTGAACCTTTACCGTTTACAGTTAACATGTTAAACTATTTGGCAAATAAAAATGTCCAAAAATGTTAGTTTCCAGAAGTGCAAAACTGGTGGACACTTATCTTCCACAGCATGCGGTTGTAAATGGTTTCGTAATGTACTGACTTATCAGGGCTGAATGTGGTCAACTTCTGTCTCTGCTGAGAAAAAGCATCCCACACCATGATGCTGCCACTATCATGTTTCAGCTTGGGGCTCTCAATGTGCCTTTAGTTCACAACTGTTCTTAAACATCTAAAGCCTTACCGGCAACTCGGTTCACTGATATTAGCTTGCACACGGGTAAACTTTACACAGACAATTGTTTGCAACACATTTTATTTAGGTGCATCAGGATAAATGAAGATAAAGTCATGAATATGAATACTTTTGCAAGGCACTGTAGTTTGTACGAACGTTGGTAGTTTTTCCAATTCCCTTGCGAAGTTTTCTGAAACCCAGACACTTGAAATGTAGCTGCATCTGGTAACTGTTCTCCGAGCAGTGCCGCAGAACGCAGGTCCCATTTTTGCCAACTTTTAGCCTTGGTCGGCCTGTTTCCACTGGGCTACTTTGGCTTGATAAATTACAGAGAAAGGAGGGGCGAGCGGGGGACACTATTTGAGGGAGATAAAAACATAGATTTCACAAGGTCACCTGCAATAAACCTCCCACTGACAACCCATTACACAACATGCCTCCCTTTGGGAATATCAAATTGATTTGTAGTTTTAGGATAAAACCGAAACCGACTCGAATAAATCCAGAAAATACACAACGCAACTCCGCTGCTGATACCTGAAGAAGTTTTCTCCAACTGTCTGCACACACGAAGCTCCTGACAGAGAGTCCAAGTGGTTAAACAGAAGCAGAAACTGTCCGTGTGGCGTGTGAACTGTCTGAAATGTTAAAATAAAGCAGCTATTAACGAGGATGCATTTAGCTGCAGCGCAGTCAGCCATCCGAGCACAGGATTCCTGTATGTGGACGCTACCGTCTGCCGCTCGGGCTGTGAGTGAGTGGTGAGGGGGAGCAGAACCATTACTCTCCGAGAAACAAATATCTCTTCCAATGGCGACTTCAAACTCACCAAGTAGAGGCGAAAAAGCTCCAATAGATCACTATGTTGACTGGAAATGGGTTAAAATGATTTACTCACCGGCTAATATAGAGAAAACGACGGCCGTAGCGTTCTAATGGGTTTCCTGTTCGAAAGTTGCCGAGTGTCAGTGAGAGAGAGAGAAAAAACACACACACACACACACACACACTACGCGGAAGTACACATCAAAAAAAGGAAAAAGCGAAGAAAAAAAGGGGCTCACTGTAACAAACTATAAAAGTAACAAAGTAGTGTTTAAAATTAAGCAAATAGTTACACTTTATTTTTTTACTATTGTGAAACGATACTACTGTTTCTTTTATGGTTCTGTGTGTATTCCTAGTTTGGCGAGATATAAAGATATGAACGACTTGTTTCCGCACTGTGTTACACAGTAAACAGTCCCCACCTATCCCTCTCTGCCACCCTGAACCACAATCTGGGTTTACCAGGCCCACATTTGAGTACATGATACTATTATTTTGACCAAAATAAATTATAACCAAGCTCACTTTTCAACAAATGCGCATATTCCCATAGAAAAGTGTGAATGGTGAATTTGTTAGATTCTCAGGGAAATCTGGAATATTATATAAAGAATATAATTTTGCGAGCGATTTTGTAGTCATTGAAAAAAAAAGCTTACATATATGTTTATTTTTTTTAAGATAAACATCAAATATTGTTTATGCTGAAAGAATTTTAGTGTTAATTTATACCAACTCTACTTTAATTAATTTGCTAAGTTATATTGGGGTTTTTTTTCCTTGTAATTGTGTTGACCGGGCTTACTGTCCAAATTACATATAGCTTCTTGATTAATCCTGTTTATTGCATTCCCTTAGCGCCACACTGTGGAATATCATTGCTCCTACTCAAGCAGTGCCTGATGAAACAGCTGACTTGAGCTCTGAGCTAAAACAAATAAATAAATACAAAGTTAAGAATACTCCGAATTTAGTAAAATTAATAGAATTTGAATTTAAATATGCATCTTCTGCAAGGAAATGAAAAAAAAAATCTAGAAGGATCAGTTAAGAAGGGAATATCAGGTAAATCTATTTCTTAATTGTATTTTTTTTTTAAATGATTTGCATCCTTACAGAATAAAAAGAAAAGGCTTATGTCAATGATCTGCAAACTGTAAGGGTACAAGCATTGGGAGCAGTTGGTCTCCATATTTCCTAAAAGCTTTGCTTCAGCTAAAATGTAAAAGATAGCGTTACACAGACTTTTTTTTTTAAATGTATTTTTTACATCAAATAGAAAATTAAAATATGTGGGAATTATTATTATTATTATTATTATTATTAATTATTATTATTACCTGTATTTTATTTCAAAGCTATCAGCTCTAAAATGGATCTGTTTATTGCTATTCCCTAACAAACAAATTTTCTGTTTCGTAATTTAGAAAAAAAAAAATTAATCAGAGAAAAATGAGAAAAACAAAAGTCAGACAAACGCTCAGTGCTTTTGAATATTTTTAAAGATGATGGATATTTTTTGTTAACTGATTTACAAACCAAACATTTTGGATGTATTTGTAGAAACTCTCAAATACTTGAAATTAATATCCTTTTTCTGCAAGTGCATTTTCTGCACTTTCATTCCAATTTGTAAAACAAAGTAGACTAGGCAAGAGGAAAGAGCTATATATTTAAAATGTGGAGAAGCAGAAATAGAGGATAATTAAAAAAAAAAATTCTGAAGAACAAATTCCTGAAAGTTAAATGTCTAGCTTTCAGAGGCCTCTTTGATTTTAGGGGATAAAATGTGCATTGATAACTAAGAGCTTCTAAACAAAACTCAAGCACACATTTGATCAGTTATTTCTGGATTCATGCACCTCCGTCTATGTATTTACACACTCCTTTCACTTTAAGACAGGGGTCACCAACTCCAGTCCTCAAGGGCTACCATCCTGCAACTTTTAGATTCACCTCTGCTCCAAAACGTCTGAATTCCCTCACCAGCATTCATTCCTCTCTGCAATAGGCTGGAAATGAGCAGTTTATTTGATCCAGGTGTGTTTGAGCAGAGACGCATCTAAAAGTTACAGGATGGTAGCCCTCGAGGACTGGAGTTGGTGACCCCTGCTTTAAGAACTGTAATGAAAGTTTGCTCGCTTCCCATTTTGTCACCCTAATTGCTTTCACACAAGTCCATTCATTCATTCCATAAACTCACCAATAGCCTGCTATCCAGAATAATATTTATTGCTTTTGAAGATATTAATCTTTTTCTTCTTTTTGCAAATTCATTTTCCCCTCTTTACAGTAAAATAAACAAAGATGATGTGTACACGCACATACACACAGGAAGGAAACAGTATTTACAGCTTGGTATTTCACACAAGGGTGACTTTTGACCTTTCCCGGAACAACTCAACAAAACATAAAGCTTTACAGTAAGTTTTACAATAGAGCTTTTACAACGGATCCTTGAAAGTGACACTGTCTGGCAAACCAAAAGCAGCTAAAATGAAGAAACTGTACAACAGTGTCAGAGATTTTTTTTTTTTTTGCAATGTTTTGAAACGGTTTGTTTCTGCAGAAATAAAAAAAATAAAAAATAAAATAACACTAACTGAAAAATAACCAAAGCAGATTTTTGGGGATAATTTTAAAAAAAGAAAATGCAAAAACCAATAACATTAATATTTGACTAATTACAATAGCTTCACACTGGCTTAATGCTAACTAGAAAAATAAGTTTTCCAGTATGCTTTTTTTAAAATCCAAAGGTTTTTTTTTTCCCCCCACCGGGCAAGTCGTAAAAATGATCAAAGTGGACAATTACTGGAACTTGGGTCGACGGAAATCAGAAATCAAAAAGCATAAGCTAGAGCTCTTTCTTCACTTTTGGATCGCAGATCTTCTTCCATTAATAGTTTAAACCTTGATACACCGACGCCTATAATTTTCCAACATGTTTAAATACTGAAGTAAATCACAACAATACAGGTAAATCTTATCATAGAGGAATGATAATTAAATGTCATGTACACCATATTAAAATATATACACAGAAATATTCATACAAATTTTAAACTGGTCCAGCTTGCTCAGCTGTCTTTTCCATTCCTGTTGGTAAAAAGTGCAGCAACAAATAAATATTCACAGGGTGATACAGTTGAAACTGAATAAATAAAGTAAGTTTTGTATTTGAATAAAAACACTTAAAACTGCGCTTACAAAGAAAAAAAATAAATTTCTGAAGGATCATTTTATACAGAATACAGTGTGTTGAAAACATATTAGAACCACATTCACCTTTTCTTACATTTAGTCATAAAATTCCAGATGTTCTACTAAAATGTTTTTGATCAAACACAAGGTAACAAAAAGGTGAAAAAAAAAAATCATGGTTTTCAAAAAGTGTGGTGTGCATTTATTTTTTACTGTGACACCTCTAAACAAACAAACAAACAAACAAAAAAAAAATCCAATGCAACAAGCAGCCTTCAAATGTCACCAAATTAATATTAAGACTTCAAAACCTGCAAGGACATGCCAGTGCAACTAAACTGACAGAGAAACCAGCAGAAGACCCATGATAGCTCTGGAAGAGCTGCAGAGATCCGCAGCTCAGACAAGAGGATCTGTTGGCTAAACAACTATCGGTAGTTCACTCCACAAATCTGGTCTTTATGGAAACATGGCAACAAGAAAGCCGTTGATGCCAAATCATCTTAAGAAGTCACCCCTACATGTAAGGAACATACAAAACATGGGGAGGAATGTGATATTTTCAAATGACACCAATATATATATATATATGTATTTATTTTTTTTACCTAGATGCAAAGTGCTATGTGCGGCAGAAAACGAAGATCCTGAACGCAACATGCCTTACTTAAACAGGATGGGAGCAGCGACATGATGTTGGGGTGTTTACTTCAGCAGGGACGGGGAAGTTGGTCCAGTTAAACTACGGTCAATCCTCTGAGAAAACCCGTTAAAAGCTGCAAAAGACTTAAAACTGGAGCAAAGTTTCAACCTCTAACAGCACAACAACCTTAGCCACACAACCAGAGGTACAATACAATGTTTCAGATTCACGTGGTTGAATTGTTTAAACCTGTATCTATGGCGATAGTTTAATGAATGCTCTACGTTCATTCTGATCGAGCTGGAAATATGTTGTAAAGGCGAGCGATGGAAAAAAAAAAAAAAAAAAAAAAAAGACTCCAGATGAGTAAAGCTGGTTCAAACATTCTCCAAAACACCAGCAGCTGTGATCGCAGTGAACGGTGGTTTTAAGGTGTTAAATTTAGGGCTGCTGATTACACACGCACACAACACTTTTTGGATTTTCAGTTTTAGAAGCATTTGAAACTTGCATTTCTTTTAAAATCAAGAATTAATACAATAGCATACTAAAGTTTGTGCTTGTAGTGGAACGAAATGTGAAAAAGTTCAAGTGGTGTGAATGCTTGAATACTTTTCAAAAGGAACTGCATTTAAGTTAAAGCCTGTGAAAAGTATTGCCTAGGACAACCACTAGATGGCAACATTTGACTATGTCTTCATAAATTATATTTTAAACGTACTTAAATATGAATACATATTAAATCCCAAGAAATCAAATGCATATTTGTAAAATTAGAAATTTGTTTTGATTATTCCTATTTATTGGTGTATGCTCATATTTTTACAGCCAGAACTGATCTGCAATTTACCACCTTGTCCTCTTCTCAAAGCTCCACTACTGACAGCAAATTGAAGAGTTCTTGCACTCATTCAGTGTGAAAAATCGAAACAGAAAAGGCAAAATGAAAATAAAACTGACACCTTAACAGCTAAAAATATTGTATTCTAATCTGGAGGAGACAGCAAGGTGATAAATTAAAAAACTTACACAGCAAACAGGGAAACAGCAGTTTCAGAAGTGGGGGACTGAAGTGCTTCACCTGGAAAAATAATAATCAGAAGTGAACAAAGATTTGAGTGATTGCAACAGGAAAGAAGAAGAGAGTTATCAGAGCGTAGACCGGTCAGGATGATGAGAAAATGTCTTAGCTGTGGATCATTTTCAGAGTCTCTGCCTCCCTGTGTCTGTCATGCAGAGCCATGGAGGGAGAGAGTGATGGAGGCAGGGAAGGAGGTGGAGGAGTAAGGGGCATCAGGCTCTTCAACGGATGAGGAGACACCGGTGGGGGGAGTGAGGTGATGGGAGGAAGCAGGCTCCCTTTCTTTCCATCCAACACAAGCGGCGACCGGCTCACCAGGCTGGACTCTTTCCCGATGCCAAAGTCATGCTCGTTCTCGTTGTCTGAGCTGCAGTCGCTCAGATCCGTTATCTCCAGGTCCGAGTCCGATTCGGGGTCCTGTTTCACGCCACCCCTCCTCTCGGTGGGGCTCTGCTGGCCCGTCCCAGCTCCGAGGCTGACGGCTCCCAAACCCAGACCCAGGCCTGCGCTCGGAGGGTTTGCCTCCACCCTTTCCCTCTCCCCGAGTGTCGCCCCGTTGCCGATGTCAGTCCGACCCATCGGCAGGCCGCCTGGGTAGGGCGGCAGGCAGAGCCGAGCCGGCTGACCACCCGCTGTGCCGTTTGTCCCGCCAGTCTGCCCCGGTGCTCCCCTTTCACCTCCGGCAGCCTCCCCTGGGGGAAGCAATGAGGAAAAGGGGTGAGGCAGCTGGGAAAGGCTGCTCTGCAGAGGGTTGGGGTAAAACTGGGAGGGGTAAAGGGAGCCAGGGGGCAGTTTGGGGCAGTTGTTGAGAGAGAAGGCCCCTGGGAGGTATGGGTTGAAACTCCAGGGGTAGTCAAAGGGCGGGTTGCGGGGGTACGGGCCCAGCAGGGAAGGGGGTTTGGAGTAGCACGGGGTACCTAGGAAAGAAGAGACCCAGGAAAACAGAGGTTAACTCTCGGAAGGGGGCAAAGGTTTCCTGACTTACAAGATCCAAGAATGTTCACTAATTATAACCAGGATTTGCAATTCAAATCAGCAGCCATGGGGGCTAATTCTGGCACAGTTGCTTTCAAAAACCTGATGGTTCATTTATGCATGCCAGTACTGTGTTATACACCCACTTCACACTGCTGCAGAACAGATGTGAGCACAAAGAGTCTGCACTGCAGTAAAAAAGTGATTAAACACAGCTCAAATCTTACAACTGATTATTATTGTACATGGTTCTGAGCGCAAATGTTAAAACAGATTAAAAAAAAAAAGTCAAATGTGTTACTAGACGACATTCGATCAGACAAATACCATTCATTGTTGCGCCGCGTTTTTAATTCAATCCCTTGTAAGCATCAGTCCACAACCCAAAGAGGAGGTAAATCTGAGGTGAAGCTGCAATTCAATTTTAATGAACAAACAAATACATTGCCTCTCAACCAACCCGACTTCCTTCCAAATGACAACCAACTCAAAGATTCTGTCTCTGCTGCACCCTCCACCACTCTCCAAGTCTCACTCTTTCTCTCCCTACCACTCTGTTATTTACTATGCAGGGCTAATTTGACAGCGCTGAAGTCTGTGCGTGCTGGGCCTGGAGTAGCTGGCAGACACATGAATATTGAATCAGTCAGGCAGGCCTCACTTGCTTATGAAAACACAGTAATGGGCGCCCACAGGCCACAAACTGAAGCCTGCACCCTCAATTAGGGCCTTCCTGCCTGGGAAGGGATTAGGACAGCAGGGACACATGGGAGGAGAGAGGAGGGTGTGAAGGGAGGAAGGGGGGGATAGGACCTGAGGACAAACAGAGGAGGGAGGAGAGGTGCAGGTTTGCGTGTGTGTGCATGTGTGTGTGTCTGAGTGTGTCTGTTTACATGCTACCTTCTCATGCTTGTGTAGAAAAGAGATGCGAGCAAAATCAGATGCATAAGGCGCAAATCCGCGCAGCGTTTGTTGACACTTGTGTGCATAGAAGAAGGAAGATGAGGATGCAAAGTTACGACTCAAAACAGGAAGATGATTTCTTCAACCTCGGTCTTGTCTCTTTACCTCTGCTTGCCTGCATAATTCACAGGTTAACCTGGTCTCTCTCTCACCTGCAGCACAGCCTCACTGCAGGCTGCTGTGGGACAGCTATCGCTCTTATTTCCTTTAACAATAAATGCTCATGCCTCTCTATATCCTCAATCCCGACTCTGCTTTCCTCCTCTCTCTCCCTGCACCTCCTACCTTTTGTTTACGGTCTTTTCTCTTCTGAAAGTACAAATTCAACTGTTTCTGGAACGGCTATAATTTCGCGTTAGAAGTATCTCCTTCGACTCACCTGAACCGAGGAAAGGGAACGTGTCCAGTCTCAGTTTGTCTCCTTCAGGTCCCGGCGCTGCGGAGCCCCGATCGAACAGGGACGTTCCTCTGCCGCTGTCTGGCAGACGAGGAAACAGGGACTGTATGGCCTAGGAAACAGGAAGGGAGAAGAAAATGTTTAGAAATAGCTGTGATCCGCAAATATGAAATTTGATTTAACAATGTTAGTATATATTTTAATATCCTCAAAACTATTTCTAAGATTTGGTTTACATTTTGTGATGTTACGAAAACAAACGTCAATTTTATTTAATTTGGATTATTTTCTTATAGACAAACTTTAGCGAATGTTTGTGAAACTGAAAGGAAAATTGACATCGTTTTTAAACATTTGACCAGCTCTACCAGCTCTTTGTACATACATTGTGCCGATTACAGCACGGTTGAAAATTGTTTGTCTTTTAACAGATTTCTTGTTTTTGTTCTTTTAGTTTTTTAGTTGTTTTTTTTTGCCACATTTCACGTTTCATCTAGTCAGATGTGAGAAAACCAGAGTAAATTAAATACATCTTACATAACTTTGAAGGAACTTTGACTCTTATTTGCATAATTGTTATATATATATATATATATATATATATATATATATATATATATATATATATATATATATATGTATATATATATATATGTGTGTGTGTGTGTGTGTGTGTGTGTGTGTGTGGGTGTGTGTGTGTGTGTGTGCATAACAGGAATGGCCTGTTTAAGGTTGTTTCTCAATCAGATTTAACTCCAGACTTTGTCTAGGCCGTTCCAAAAACTTTATTTTGTTTTCTCTGTGCCATTCAAAGGTGGACTTACTGGAGAACTTTGGCTCATCGTCCTGCATCAAGATTTATGTGTGTTTTTGAGCTTAAAATGAGACAATGAATCACAGGAATTGTTCCTGTATAAATAAAGGATTTATAATGATCATTTTATTTCATAATTTTATGGTACAAACTAGAAATTATGACACCACCAGTTGAGGTAAAGCATCCAAGTTGAGGTAAAAAATAAATATGATCAGGTTTGACTATGGTTCACATCAGTTTTTGAATTTGTTTGGATCGGGGAATGAGGTAATGCCTTTTGAAATCTTTTTGGCCTACTTTTACTTTTCAATATAGGTCATACTTAAGTAATGAAGTAGTTAAGTAACCATGGCGACATGTGGTTTGTGAAACTGAACTTGGCTTTGAAAACAGTGGCAAATCCTAGATAATTCATTATTTAACAAGGGCCTTATATTTACAACCAGATTAGACTTGAAAGTGTTTTTTCTGTTAACAAATTAAATCCCCTCATTATGAATTTACTCTCTTTGTCTTATATCAAAATTAGTTTGTTGGTCCGAAATCTTAAAGAGTGAAATAACAGCAGCAACTGAACCATCTAAGGAGGAAATGTATTTTCATGACTGATATGCTTACCACACTTAAGTTTGGATTAGTAAGAGAAAACGTTTTTTTTTTTAAACACTTTATGAACTACTTTGTATCAGTCTATTACGTAAAATCCCAGTAAAATAAGCTTTAAAAAAGGAAAAAGGTCAAAGGGTGTGTGAATAGTTTGGCAAGGCATAGTAGCATGCTAAACTGAGTACACAAATTCCCATCCTTTGCTTCTGTACAGTGTAAAGTCAAATGTTGACAGCAGCACCCTACAGGGTGTGATGCAAACAGTGACACAGTCACAGCAAGGACAGGATAAAAGGGGACGCCCTGGGACTCATTGTGAAGAGGGATGCAGAGTCTCAGAGATTCAAAGGCTGGAAAAACACAGAGTCAAGTGGAGACCAGCGATTAAGATCGTGGGGACATAGGATAAAACGACAAGAAGAGAAGGATTGTGGGCCAGTTTGAGTAAAAAGGACGCAATCAGGAAGTAGGAGAGCTAGTGTGAGTCAGTGTATCAGTGTTTTTTTTTTGTTTTTTTTTCTCAAAACGTGATTGAGTGGGAGACAAGTTAAAGTGTAACAGCTGAACCTCTGGAATCAAAGGGACAAAGGTGGGATTTCTCTCTCTCCCTTTGCATAGAGCAAGATCGATAGTATCTGTCACCAAGTTTGAAAGTTGAGACTGTACTTCCAAGCTGGGAGATCTGCGTTGCTTAACAAACCGCATTAATGACCCGCTATTGATCTGATCTGACATGGCCCCTTTGCTTATTTTCTTTTTCTTTCTCTCTCTCCCATTTCTTTCATTTTCAGTCAATGACAGATGGATACACCATCGGAGACGGGGATGAGAGAAGGAGAGGGATAACGTCTTCTTTTGTTTTAAGGGCGACTTAAGATCGTCCTCCTCATGTCTCCTTCAGAGTCTGCAACTTCTTATCCCATCTGAGGGATGGTGCAGACGAAGGATGGATGATTCTCCCTCCAACTTTCTAGTTCTTACCTGATTTCAATGCGCTTTAACTTTTGTTATTTTCAAGCTTGTCATATAAATAAAGTGCTGCATATATATAGCCTGAAAATTTTCTAACAGATTTAAAACATTTTGAAATACATGTAAAGCTTTTTTTTTTTTTTTGTCCAAATTATTACACATCTAACTTTATATTCTGATAGAATAAATCTGAGTACAATGCAACAGTCTCTCAGGGCTCATTGAGATGTGAGCTATTATCCCCAGCTTCAAGGACAATAAATAAGAGATGGGAGTGATGAGCGCTATCATTGTCTTGTAAAAAGAAAATACACAGGAGGGCAGCAAGAAACGTAACAGCAAAAAATTACAAGAGTGAGCTTCGATTACCTGAAATGGATCATTGGTAATAAAAAATTAAAGAGCAAAGAAAGGCGTTTGCCTCTATTTTACTGTTTCTTTCTTTGTTCCCAATTTGTAAGCTTAGATCCGAGCTGTCAGATTTGTCACTGTGCAAATTTATGTTCACGTTCAATTAAAAAACTGTTGTGTTCACAAACACATATCTGACGCTTCCTGGGTGGCGTCCTTATTCCTTAAAATAAAAACATTTTTTTTATGGCCTGATATGCAGAGCCAGTCCAAAGCTGTATATCATTCCCTCATAATGTAATGTGGGACTTTTATCAACAACAATAAGGTCCAACCGCTCCGCTAATATTTCCTTTGGCTCATCCATGTCTGACTATTATTTTCACATTGTCAGCACTATACATTTTACAACTAGAAAGTAATATTAAATTCACATTTGAATTACTCAGGACAGAAATTACTACTCTGTCTGGATAATATGGATTATACACCTTGATCCTCACCCTCAAAAAATTAAACTATAAATAGATAAGAAGGAAATAATTTTTCTTGATGTTGACAAAGTTATAAGGAGATTGTTTTCTCTTCTGCAGCTTGGATGGATGTGTCATAAAAACAGCTAGGCTACTTTGAAGACCTGTCCAATAATAAAATATTTCATATTTTACATTTAAAAGGTTTACAAGTTTGATATGATTGTCTTTGTGTATGTTAAGGTATGAATCATCTGTTTTTCTTGTTTAAAAAACACAATTCAAAAATAAGTATGAGTCATAGATTTGATTTGGTTTGACAGAATGATTACAGAAACCTTTATCATTCTCCATGTTTCCCTGAGTCTAAAACATTTAGTAAAAAAATAGAATCCATTGCTGTTAAAAGCTGTGGAGAATGACGCGGATGCACTTTTCCCAAAGTCTGCCTACGATTGGCTGATCCGGTCCTTATTCCTTCTGCAGCAGCCGCCTCGTTCCCAGTTCCTGAACTCTGAGACTCGCATTGAGCAAAACAGAACCAGCAAGATACCAAGAGTACGAGCTCGACCTGATCGGCTTCACAGAATGCTGTTGTTTGTTTTGTGCATTTCATTGATTTCATCGACTTTTGTTTAAAACCCATTCAAAATGTTTTGATTTGTTTTTCCTTTGCATCATCCAGCTCTGCATATCCATAGATAAAGATGTAGGGATCGTCAGAACGTCGAGTTTTTTCCCAGAACATAAACAGCTCATCTGACCAATGGTGTGCGCTCTTTAGTCTTGTTACATTGTAGTGGTTCTGCAGAACTTTTACACTAAAATCAATATTTGGTATTAAAAATCAAATTTAGGGTAAACCTAAAAAAATAAAATAATAATAATAATAATAATAATAATAATAATAATAATAATAATAATAATAATAATAATAAAACTGATGAGGTATAAATTATTACATTAGTTTGATTTAAAATACTTTCAATTCTAGATAACAGTAAGTTTAGTGCAATAATTAAAATGCTATCAGCTTAATAACAATAAATCAATCTTAATCAGTGTAATACCAAGGCTATGGGACTGATTATGAAACTGATCGTTTATATACATTTAAATAAAGTACCGTAGCTTATCAGCTGATAGAAACACCAACACACATTGAATCCCCTTCCCTGCCCTCCGTCCTACCGTTCGTACCTCTGGGCTGCAGTCCGGAGCAGCCGAGCCCCCGTTAAAGTGGTTCTGGGCCAGAAAGAAGGGAGAGTTAGCCATGTCCAGGATGGGGTAGTTCACCAGCACCACTTTACTGAAGTTAAACTTGTAGGTGAACCGCTTCCCTTTGGTTTTGTGCAAAATGCGCTTGTTGTAGTAATACCTGCAGAGGAGGGAGGAGAGGATATTGATGCAGGGATGGATGGAGAGGTGGAAAAGGATAAAGGAAAAAGGAAAAGGAGAGGGAAGGATTATTTTAATGCTCGCATCAAGGTTTTGTGTTTCCTCACTGTAAGCAAAGAATAAGTAAACAGCTTTAGTGCTGTGAGGCAAAGGGGTATGCTGATTTCCCACTGTTTTTATTCATCTCCTTTCTCAAATCAATTCACGTCTTGCTGCCTTTATTCAATACAATGTGTTTTTTTGAGTGAACTTTTTCTCAGTGGATAGAAGACAAAAACCAGAAAAAAATCAAAATGTAGGATCTTTTTGAACTCCTGACATACAGTGCAACCAAACTATTTCCTTTCATTTCAAGACTGTTTTACACTTAAAACAGGGTTTTGTAAAGCTTCATATGTCAAAATGTGAGACTTTTCCATGCTTGGCTTCACAGTTTTTAGTAGAAATTTGAATCTTTTTTCTGAGGTTCAAGAGTTAAAAACAAAAGTTTATAAAACAGTTTTTAAATTTAAGTGTATTTTATTCTATCAAAGCATATATTTATATATTTTTTAGCTTATTCAACAGTAATAACCAAACCAATTCAGAGTTTGAGTTAACTATCAAAGCAGTCAGAAAAACAGAAAAGCAACCAACATTTTTGTCTCGGCAGAAAACAAACTAAATTATTGTTAATTAATTCTATTAACAATATTCAATAATTATTCAGTTTCCCAGGATTTCTTCTAGTCTATTTCATAAATAAATAAATATGTTTCAGATTTATAGGTGTTTTCATTGTGGCACTGCTATGACAGCACTAGTTCTAAACTCAAAACTAAAGAGCTGATGACTTGAAGTTCATCAAAAAATAAAATACAGCTAATATAAAGCTATTTCCACTGACTGCAGAGGAGGATATGAACTGTTTTTGTCATGCCATTTTTCTTAAATGTAAAAATTGTGTGACTATTTTATCTTCCTCTAATTTTCAGTTTGAGTAAATTCATTTGCTAGAAAAACGTCGTGAGAAATTATTGTTCTAAATTAAACTACTTCTAAAATAAGATAAAATAAAAGCTGTTCACCAAGGTAAGCTCTCCAACCAGAAAATAAATAAGCAATTCCTACAGATATCAATGCATTTTATTTATATCTAACCCTACATTTTTGTAGATTTACAATTTACCAAACTTCAAAATAGGAAAGACAAGAAAACATGCCATTTGAACCAACCAACATCTCCAAAGTCACTTTAGAGAACTGACATCACTTCCATTTGTCAGTCAGAATTTAGCTTGTAATATGATTAAATAACAAAACATATTTTGAATTTGTACTTTAAACAATGAGCCTTGTTGTCAGAGACTACTGTGCATAAGACACTGAGGAGCTGTCAGCATTTCCCACAGAGCAGCAGATTAACAAAACAACAGCAATCTCCATGGTAGCGACCTTCGGTGTCTCCCGACGGGCATGTCAAACCTTCGTCATGCCAGTTTCCTTTACCACCCACAGAGGTGTCACTGTGCACAGTGTGCCAGAATGCTGAGCTGATCAACGGCGGGGCTGTGGGGGGAAGAAGCCATCTGGCTCAGGTAAAGGAGCTGAGAAATCAGGGCTGAAGGCAGGATGTTGGGTGAAAAAAGCTGCAGACGTGTTATCGCGAGATTCCGGCGACTGTTGAAGGAATACTTTTGTCTCAACCAGATCACAGTCAGAGTGCGAAACACAGCCTCAGCATTAAACGTGGGTATGAAGCTCCTCATTATGCAGACGCACTCGATCAACAAAACAGCAGAATGTTCATATCAGCATGTATTCACAGTGGCTGAACCCCAGCGCAATGATGTGTACATGTTTTGCTTTGCGTGGCAATTGTGCCTTGGCCCCTAATTGAGCAATTAAGTGAGGCTAATTAAGAAGGCTAATTGTGGCCCCAGCCAATTCATAACAATTAGACTCTGACGACAGCCCCCATTAACAAGGGGCCAAAGGAAAGCAGAGGGGGATTGGGGGGGGAGGAGGGGGCAAATTGGGATGGGGTGAAACAAGTCGGGGTGGTGGTGGGCGTTGGCACAATAAAACTATGAGCGATTGAGGGGGTGTAAGCTGCTCCTCAAGTTTGAGTGTTTTCACCATTCCTGGGGAAGTCCAAGCGATTTCCACACCGCGGCTTAATTTTGAAATCCCTATTGAATTTTTTTATTTTGCAGCTCAATGGTGAACTTTCCATTAGGATGTCAGCTGATAAGGAGAAATTGAGGGTATTGACGTTCCCCTGGAGAAGTCTCACCTTTATCTTTCTATTTTCGCCGACATGAAAAAGAGAGGCGCTAAGTGAGGATTAAGCTCGGCGAGAGTAAACAAATAATGTAAACCGGGGGCGGGGGCCGGTGGGGGGGTGGGGCGATAAACCAATCTGATACAGACGTACCTCAGCGCCCGGCTCAGCTTGTCGTAGTTCATGTGAGGCTTGCACTTCCTAATCCCCCACAGCCGGGCCACCTCATCTGGGTCCTTGATGACAAACTCCCCGTAGTCTCCCTGCCAGGCGATCACACCCTGATACTCCTCCTTCTGCAGCAGCTCCAGGATGAAGTGCCACAGCTGGATCTGCCTGGAACCAGGGCTCGACTCCGGCTTGTAGGCCCAGTCCGGGAAGGCGAACCCTAGGCAGCGAGAGAGAAACAACAAAGGAGGGGTAAGGTTAAGGCCTGTCGTTTGTCCCGCTGCTCGCTAGGGGGGGATTGCTGTCTGAATGACTGATGAGTGATGGAGCTGAGGGATGATGTGTTTAATATCACAGCACGTGCCTTGAGCAATGTTAGTCTGTGCTAATGCCCTCTAGCCTCAACAGATTGGTCAGTGGGATGATGACAGCTCGCTGGGGGAGATTTGGTTGATGTTGCCTGGGCCTGAATTTTAACAGCCAACTGTATGCACATCATAGAGGAGCTCGCATCAGCTGCCAGTGAATCTGGCTGTAAGTAGCCTTGTAAAAACACAAGACACAGAGCCAATTACCACCAGAGTCTGCAGCATTGCTGAAGAGTTTTTCAGCAAGATTTTTATTTTCTTTTTTTATGATGATGGTTTTGGTTAATCGGGCATAAATTTACTCGGATGGTTTCCCCTGAATATTTTCTTTTGTTTATTAATTTTTAAAGGAAAAACTTTTTGCCACAAAGTATGTGGAGAAAACTCGACTGACAGGGATCGGACTCACCTGGCGTCCAAAGGGCGGGCACCGGGGGGAGCAGCAGATCGCTGACGCAGTTGCAGTCCATGCCTCCACAACACCTGAAACAGTAACAACAATAACCATGCATTTTCTTACATCTTCTGCAAATAGAAGCAGTCAAACACGAGAGAATATTTACTATTAGTAAAGTTTACGCCAGCCGAGCAGCAACTTTGGTAAAAATCAAGATATTGCGTAAGGGTCTAGAGAAGCGCCGTGAGTTCAAAACGGCACCTCAAATCGATGTGAAATACAGCAAGGTTATGTTTCATATGTCTTCGGTTGAGATAAGGTGTTTGATGGATGTGATCTTGTACAGCCACCTGAGGCCGTGTCTGATGCAACGTGGTGGACATCCCTGTAGTGTATTTTCAACCGCAGGAATTACACAGATTTTTTTAAAAAGCATCCAAAAAGCAGCCGAAGCACATCACATTAAAAAAAAAAAATACATACATAGTATTTTAAACATATATGTTCGAGTTTTGGCTTGATCTCTGTGGGTTTTTTAAAAGTAGAAAGTGCAAAATAAATTACAAAATATAAAAACCAAGAGGGCAGATTAATGCTCTCTTATGATATGCAGGTAGAACGGAGCTGTGGACGATGACTTTATGATGATTTGAGGATTAAAATGCCCATCATATAAAGAATTCACAAACTTCACCCAACTTTCAGCTGGAAGTTGGGTGAACTACTTTTTAATTAATATTTTAGCTTGAATTTCAAGCTAAAATAATAATTAAAAAGTAGAACTGCTCTGAGAAAGTCTCTTTAAGAAGATAATCTGAACAAAACACAACAATAAACCTCTAAAAGGATTCAAATTCCTTATTTTTTTTTTCCATTTTGCAACATTATAACTCTAAACTTCAGTGTATACGATGTATTTTTTTTTCTTTCTGATAGACCAACAAAAGTGATACATGATGAGGTTAAAAGAAAATGTTAATAGACTTTTATTTTTAGAGGTTTTAAAGGTGACCTTTATTTGCAGTAGATTAGGCAGAGAACCAAGGGGGAAAACATGCAAGAATTGAACCCCAAACGGCTGAAACAGCTACTTTTCCTCTAATCTAAACAAAATTATTACATAATACTTTGAGGATGATTTTCCGTCAACATTTACAGGTAATTCAGTTCCATGGGACAATGCATGGAACTGAATTCAAGCAAATTCTGAAAGAAAACCTGTTTGAGGTTGTAAAAGTCGTGAACCTTTTTGCCTTGTTTCAACTTCCGGTAGAAAAATCTGACTGAACTTGAGTCATTTTACAACGAAGGATTTCTAAAAATGTCATTCCCTAGATGAGTTGGTGGAGATACGCCCAAAGAGGCTCATTTTTCTAATTTTATCTGCTTAAAAACCATAGAAAATCGTTAATCAATCTCCTTCAACTTCACACTTATAAGACTCTCTGTGTTGATCTGTCACACAAAATCCCCAGTAAAATATACTTAAGTGTGTATTAGAGGGAATATTCTATGACGTTAAGAATTTCTAAAACTATTTGCATTGTCAGCTCTCAATTGTATGTTAGTGAGATTATATTATTCATCTGCAACATTTTGGCACAAGTTATGTCATTTAGTAAGACATTCTGTTTGTTTTAATTGCCACAACTAGAGAGGGCCAGAAGATGCATTTTCAGACGACTTGTTATATAGATATCGTGAAAAAAAAGGAAAATACAGAAAAAAGATCTGAGATTATCACAAATTGCAGCAAAAGTGTTGTAGGACAGAAGGCATCATTAAAAAAGCCATAAGGTCTGAGAGTGCAGTGTAGGATAATCTACAATTTCATAGTAAATTAGCATTTTCTTATTTTCTGTCTTATATTTTTGAATGTTTCACATTTTTAGATTTACACACCCAGAAAGTAAAGGAATGACAAATTTAACCTTATTTGTCCCTAATCTTTATCTGAAAATCTCAAAAAGCTTTACTGATTGATTGCTTTTGTAGAAAAAAAATGGTGGGAGTTTTTTTTTTTTTTGTTTGATGCAATTAATGAGAAAAGGAAAAAAAAAACTGATTTGTCAGTATTTGACTTGCAAAGATCTCTGGTTCTCTGATTGGGACGCCACCAGAAACAAACCTGCAAGCTTTTGCATTTAATTAAGTTAAAATACTTCTCACAAAATTGTATTAAATGAGAGAAAAATAAATAAAAAAATATATACATCCTTAATAACCATAAAAAATAACCCAACAAATTAATAAGCAAGAGCAAAATGTCATGAAAGTTTTTTGTAATTGACATGTCTGAAATTTCTCATCATTTTGTTTGATTTGATCTTGTAGATGAACGTCAGTAGGGCTTAATTATTTAAAACTTAAGAACACTTTTGAAGGTCACTCAGGACCATCTTCTTACTCCGTTAATACAATCTTACCTGCAACATTTTATTAAATTAGAGAGCACAATGATAACACCTGCCAAATAAGCTCATTGAGATGTCTGCAGGCGGGAGACGTGGAGGAGGATTCAGTGTCGAGCGCTGGATCAGGTCTGGACGTTGCCGTTTCATGGGGGTTGTTTCACAAAAGCTTGGATGGAAGAGGCGAACCTGCCGGTGTCTTTAACGCTAGCCTCTCTCCGTTTCGTCTCGTCTCTTCTCTCTCTCTGCCTCTATTTAATTATGCTCTGTGAATTTTGGATTTTCCCTCCAGCATTGAAATGGAACGTGAATTATTAAGGTGTGTTTGTATAAATTATTATTGCTAACTCCAGGCACTTCTCACTCTCTCTCTCTCTATCAGCCTCGGCGTCGCTCTCGCCCCGCTTCTGTAGCCCTTAAATCGTGGCCCATCTCGCCCTTCTTCTGCTCCTCATTCTCCTTGTGCTCAAGCTCGTTTCTTTGTCCGCAACCTTTTTCGCTCATTCTTTTTTTTTTTTTTAACTTTCTCGTCATTCTTTTTGTCTGCACACAGTGTTGCTCTCATTTTTAAAGTGTTCTAATACCAGCTGCTGCATGCCTTCACAAAAAAACGACTTGTCACGTGGCTCGTTTTGCATATGACATCATGCGATATCCAGAGTCTTATTTATAACCAGCACCGTGAGTACTAGTTTCAAATAAACTGTATTTGAAGGACTCCTTGCTTCAAAGTGCGATCATTAGAAAGATGGAAGGTTCTTTGTGTCGGAGGTAGTGATCTATAAGTTTCCTCTTCCCTGTGGGCTGCAGGTCATCAATACTGCATCATCTCTTTCATTTGCCATATTCACATGGTCTGCAGCATGTATGGACCCGTCTCCTCAGAGGACCATATGCATGTGTTCCTATCAGTCGGGGGGCTCTCCATCTACCTCTCTAACCACCTACGCACCACCTCAGATCCATACCCATCCACCCTTTTTTTTTTTTCCCCCCCCCCCCCCCCATCCGGCAGCATATCTATACAGGTGACTCCTCCTTTCCTGTTTCCCACCTCCTTTCTATTCACACACACCTATCCACTGTCTTGCCTTACCTCACTGCCTGCCTTCCCTCCTGCCCCACCCACCTCCTTTTTGCTCCTACTCTGTGTGTTTTGCTTCGCCGCAGTAATTTTCCGTTTGATTTCGGAGGTAATGCATTTTTTACAAATCAAAGAGGAAGCCAGGCTGCCCTTACCTCCTCCTTCTCCTCCTCCTCCTTCTCTCTATCTCTACCTCCCTCTCTCGTTGTTTTCTCCCTGCCCAGTCTCCTGTTCTTGCCCCTGTCGGCCCCCCAGGCCAGAGAGGAGATAAAGGAGCCCCCATCATTTCCTTGTTAGTTTTGATTTGGGCAGCACAGGGCTTTCAAGTTCCCCCCATCACCCCCAGAAACATTATAACTAGCAGCCAAGGGAATACAGTTCCTCGTACACACACACACACACGCGCGCGCACACACACAGTTGCACATGCATACACAGACTGTCAGATGCAGGCCTTCGCAGATTGTAATGGATTTCACAGTCTCAAACAGATTCTGCAAAAATGTGCGAGTATCCAGGTAGCCGTCACACGCAAACAGTGAGAGGCAGTGCACAAAAATAAGACATGGAGCCCATAGATATTGACTGAATCAATACTGACACACTAACACACATCTCTCTGAGCAGACAGTGAGAATGCACTTTGTTTACTGTGCTGATTGTGAGGAGAGACATACAAAAAAGACTCACAAAGCACTTTGTTTTGAGCAGAGTGGCTGAGGAAACAACAGGCCGAAACAAAAGGCCCCTTCCACACAAAAGGTCACCAATAAGTCCTGCGTGGATGACGGATCACACACTTAGCAGTGTGGCAATATGCACAATAGAGACACCAAGTTACTGTACACAGTCACATCTTGGAAACAAAAAAAAAATCAAACCAGTTTTTTCCACTCAGTCACGGTGGTCCACGTGTCGTGAGGGAGACGCCGGCGCCGGCGCCGGCAAACAGATCATTACTGCTCAGGACCCTCCGGTGGGATGATGAGTCACACACATTCGGTAATACGGCTTGCAACAGAACACAATGTGCTTGTTACCTGGCAAAACAACAGTTCAAAGGCAAACAGAACTTGGAAGATCAAGGTTGAGGGGTCAAAGGCTATTTTGTAATTTTGTGCCAGTTTTAAAGACACCACAAGACGAAGATTAACTAGGACAACAAGTTAATAATTTTAAATACAGAGTAACTTTAATTTTTTTTTTTTTTTGGACTCATTCTAAAGTTCAAATATAAAAGTTCATTGCAATCATATTAGACGTATTTTATTGGATTTTGATGCAAAACCTGCAGCTGCGTCATGTTAAGTGGTTCAAAGATTTGAGTGGAAATGAACTTTTAGTGTGTACCATCCTTGTATTTACTCTGGTGGGTCTGGATCCCTTAAAGTGGCAGCGCAGATGGGATAGTCTCCACATCGCATAAGTAAATCCACTCACCTAAATGCATGACAGACAACATCTGGCTTAGGCAACAAAGAAAATTAGCTATGTTGCCTGTAAATATAGAAAGGTTAACCTTAGTTTTGGTTGAATTTTTAAATGTATTTTTTACATATTCATAAGGATAAGATCTCTTGGGTAACAAAAA